ATACTGCATCAAATCAACTTGCCAAAATGCGGTAAGGGAGCATTGCGTAGAAATGTAGAGATGATATCGCTCGCTCCGGTGCCAACGCAGTATAAGTTACCTGTAGGTAGAACATTTTAGTATTCCAAAGCTCATTAATTAACTTTGTTGAAAATTAAAATAACCGCAACACTTTGCCTATTAGTAAACACCGAAAGCACTTATAAAGGACATCAGATATATAATCGAACAAATGTAATTTTTGTCTTTTACTGGATGGCATGGAATACATTCTTGGTGTCAGCAAGTCTTACAACAAAGGTGTTACAGCAGCAAGGCTCGAGAATTTCATGTTAAGAAATCTTCCATTTTGATGCACTATGCACCTTCTGGCTTCTTCACATCCATGGCATTTTCTCCCTTAATACACTAAGCTCAAAACAATTTACCGCAGCTATTTTTGTCGACTTTTTTTAAGAACCAAATTGTAAAAGTGAAGGTCGATCAATATTCCAGCCACAATCCTCTTTACACTGTTCTTTTGTAAGGACATAATAGGCCTTTGCTCCTTCCTGCGTCTGCAGAACCGCGCTTATTTCCTTGTAAACAAACTATGAGTGCAGAAAGACAGCATGCTCTGTATAGAATTTTGTTAGCAGAATAAGAATTACTTTAATTCGTTGTTGTCAGAAACTTACTTCTTTAGATCCCTTGATTGTACACGACCTGATTTTAAAAAACGCTTAATTTCTCGGGGAAAAAAAATCAAAAATGAAACTACATGCCAGTGACCAAAGATGAAATTGGCCTCATTTATCGTTCTTTAATACACCGGCTTGGGGCTGTGTGACCATGTCGGCGGTTTGAGATGACTTTGATTACAAAATTGGCACCAGATCTTGGGTAAATTAGAATGACTTCTAATGATTTGATTTAGCAAATCTTTTACTTGTTTTATCTGTATTAGAATATTCAGTAGAAACCATTTACCTTTGAGTGCTTATTGTTTTTGATGAATAAGCAAGGATAACCGTATGAAACTGTTACAAAGCAAGTGGGAATTTATACCACAACTTTCATCTCATAGGTTCAATTTCAATTTGAACAGAAAATTTACATCAGATGCTTTGTCTAATGTAATTTTGAGTTCCCGGACTGAGTCTTAATTCTAAGACTAAGTTAGCTTATTTTGATTTATCAGTACAAATGATTAATCAAACAATCAAATCGTCAAATCAAGTCAGAGTCTGAGCTGAGTTAGTAATGCCCAGTAAGTGGATTATACATAGCTCTAGAAATCAAATTAATGGTATAGATCATATTAGGTGTATATATTTTATTTAATTTTTGAGGTAAAGGTATTTTTTAAGATAACCTGAGGTAAAAACCTCAGAAAATCGTGACTAGATTTAATAAATGATTTACTATATATTGCCAGAATTCTCACTTTTTCTAAGGTCGCGCAAAAGTGCTGTTGGATGAGCTTGGTTGGGAAAGACTTGAAACTTCTAGGTTGAAACAACTTGCTATCTGCATATACAAGGAGCACAATAATCTTTCCCCATCATACTTGAAGCAGATCTTTACCGATACAGCAAATGTTCTTACTTATAACCTTAGAAACTCAGAATTAAATTACTACATTCCTAGACCTCGGACTGAGTTTGGAAAGGGGAGCCTACAGTTATCGAGGATCGGTTCTAGGGAATAGGATTTCCCCTGTGTTCAGAACTTGCTCGCCTAAAGACTTCAAGTCCTCACTGAATGGATTGTTATTTTCAGATCTGAATATGATAAAGTCAGAATATGATAAAATCCGTACTTTTATCACATGTGTATATGTACGTTTTTCTAATTTCTATATCTAAGTTAAGTCTAGCGTTATAGGTAATAAAATATAGAATGATGTCTTTTATATATTTTATTGCTGTAGAATATTATATGTCATAGATCGTAGAAAGTGAGACACGATTCCTTGGAAAACCACTTTTATTGTAGTTCTTTAGTCGTCTGAGAGCAAATATTTTCGCTCTGAAGTCACCGATGTCACGGGTATTGTCAAATAGCTTTAAATACATCCGTAAAGGTGTTAGTTTTTGGGTACCAAAACGTGGGGGAGCTCTGCCCCCCAAATTTATGTTTGGGGGACTATGCACCCCCTTGCCCCCCCTGCTCCGTCGCCTATGTGGTTTCTTCTTTCCTATGCTATGTGGTCCTCGGGCCTCTTTGTGGCCATTTTATGGATTTTATTGGGAACGGTTTTTTCGCTCTATAATGCTTTCAAATGAAGACAAATTTTGCGAGAACAAAACTACTTAATTATGCGGGGCAAAACAGGTGGGAAGAGCAACAAACTGGTCGATAAAGATAAACAGCTGCTTAGGCATAATTGTTGAGTGGGTTTTTAAGGAAGGGGGGAGTCTCAGCTTTCTAGTTCATTTTGTTAATATTACTGAATTTGTTCCTTAAACCGTGAGAAACTTAACGTTAGCAAAGAAAGTGACAAAATCACAGCTTCCCAAGCCAACAAAAATGAACTTGGAAAACTAACAATTTTTCAAAACCCACAATTTTCATCCCTTCGATTCAATCTTCTTCACACAATTTGGTGGCCGTTCCTATTGTTTGAATTTTGATAAATTTCGTGACACAGCTCATTCAATGACCATCTTTTTGTGTGTCCGGTGAAACCTTTTGATCTGCGCACGCCGAGAGTTTTTACTGAATACTAGATAGCGTCATGGTGTTTTGTAAATAGAAAAACAGATTGGAAACCTAATAATGAACATGATATAGCAGTTGGTGCATCCGGTGTAGTAATCTTTTTCATGATAATTGCGTTTACCCCTAGGATCAGGACATGCTCTGATTGGTTAGCTGGAAGACCGAACATATCGTTTAATTATTTACGAAAAATGGTTAGCCAAAACTCATCTCTGATTCCGTGTTCTGTTAAGACTTTCCCTTAGCATTATTTTGATCTTACTACGATGGCAAAAAAAACAAGGATAATCAAATAGCATATACATATTTTATTTCATTTGCGACCACAGGTGTTTCAAGCGAAACTCGAATTCAGGATGTGGTTGTTTACGTAACAAAGTATTTGAACCCTACAAAAAAAGTCTACGGAAAGTTATTTGTCTCAGAAACAGTTCCAAAGCTATTGTATAGGTTCTTCTCACCTTGGAGAGTTAATCGCAGTCGGGTTTTTGTTAACTTAAAAATGCGATTGAAAGTTGTTCAATACATGGTTTGCGCGTTAATTCAAGGTAGTGGTCCTGAACCGGGACTTCACGCTGTCTGTGTTATGTAAACAATTCAAACACAGTTAACATCTGTCAACTAAAAATCAATGAGTTGTTTAAAAATGAATTTTGAATTGAAAAATAAGACTTGACAATTTTTAAATGTTTTAATAACTGAATATTCAAAAAATAACTGGATATCAATATTTTAAATACTTTGCCATGGCACTTTAACATCAACATGAGTTTGATGACCTCGCGGTTCCAGTTTGTTTGTCCGTTTTTCTAATTTCTATCTGCAGATGATTGTGAAGGTTACATGAAACACACATAACACTTTTTCTAGTTTTCCTCTTCTCTATATTTTGTCGTAAATCGGGACATAGCTGTCTTTACGTAGCCCTTTGCATAACTGTCCCTGGAAATAAGACTTAACTTAACTAAACTGTCACTTCGTATGTTAGGATTAGTTGCTGTTCGACTGGAACGCTAACTTACCTCAGTGGGATGTGAATGTTTGCAGTTTTCTATGCCAACATTCTACTTGCATCTCTGAAACAGGTTGACTTTGTGGATTTAGCAGTTCAGCTGTTAGACTGAAGACTGTCAAAACTCTGAATTATACACAATTCAATTAGTTGCCACTTTTTCATGACTCATAATACGCCTTGTTTTCCCTCCAAAATTTTGCATAAGCATTGTTTTCAATTTTCAATACCAGCTGAGGAGATTATTAGGCCATTTCTTAGCTTCTCCAAGCCTCACTTTCAGAGCGAGGCTTAGTGCAGAAGCCATTGATATTTAATTTACTATTCTCATGCAAATCTAAAACTCATTATCACGTGAAAGGTGCACTTAGCGAGAGTGAGAGTTTTTGGAACTCGGAAATGGCCTATTGGAAGCAACGGGTATACAAATTTTGGCAAAGTGGTGGTAGTGGTGGTGGTGGTGGTGGGTGGGGTGAGGGACGGGGGGGTTGGGGTGTAAAAGCTGCACCTATAGCTTGCTTAACTTTTACGTTTACGCGCGGCCCGCCTTTCATACAAAATAAAATTCGTTTTGTCCTTCTATCTTATCTGCCAGTCGATGACAAAACCTTTTTATTAATCATGTGTTTCTACGTATCTCTTGATTGGGGGAAAACTAACTTGGACTGAGCGAGCAAAATGAGGTTCTCTCTGGGCCTGAATAGCACCTTCAACCGCGGGTTTTTAGCCTCAGCTCCAGGACATGAATGCTGATGCGAAAAAATGCGCGGGGACTAGGGAAAGACTGAGGCAGTCCAGATCACGCGCGTCTTATTTCTCTTGGCTAGTTTTCTCGAAATCCCAACTATCTTAGAGTTTACCACAGGCTACAGGGTCGTTGATAAGCATTACAAAAAATTCACGGATTTTATAACACTCGTAAGTGTCTGTTTATTTGCTCGTGACTTTACTTTGCGCATTTCAGGTAGAACTCAGGGTTCCTTACACCTATGTCTGAAGTACACTATATATTTTCTGACCTAATGCTTTCTATGTTATTTTTATCATGTAATACACTCTTTTGTTCATGCAGGTTGGAGTGATTAACATAATTAAGATTTTACGTTCACAATTTTCATCACTCTTTCCAATAAAATAATAAGAAAAAACACTAATGTCCGGCATTCGATGGTGACTGTAAACATGTTGATCTGATTTTAACCTTCCATCCTAGCCATTATCACTTGTTGTTGAAATCGATATCCTTGTCCTCATCAGTCTCTGATGGCAAAAAGTTTCTTCTCCA